GATATGAAATTCGCTCTTCCCTTCCTTATTCCAACTCAAACTTGATCAACTCATCCTCATCTTAAATAACACTTCTGTTGAAAAACCCGTCCTGACCTCTGTGACTGCTTTAGGTTCCCCATCTTATGATTGAGATGAAACAGGTGCTTCTTGTTATAGAGTATGCTTTACCCAATGTTATAAGACTCCTGGACATATGCCCATATGCATACACACACATGCAAATACTCACACACTCTATCATGAACTCACTAAGAACGAAGAGCATGTCTTACTCATTTTCTGTGTCATTGGCCATGCAGCACATAGTCAATACTCAGTGATGTTTGTTAAGTGGATGGATGGATGATAGATGGATGGATGAATAATGATGTCTGAGCTGCATTGATTTTTGCCAGTGAAAAAGGCTGAAGATAGGAAACAATATTTGGTGAGTACTTGCCATGAGGCAGGTAGTGCTCTAAAAGTATTGAAACTTGTTCCCAAACAACCTATAGAGCATGCATTATGAGTCTTTCTATTTTAAAGTTGAGGAAACTGACATGAACAGAGGCTAATTTATTTTCTCGGTGCATTCAGAGAATAAATAGATGAGGCAGAATTAGAATAAGAGAAGGCTGGCTTCCAAGCCCATGAAGTGACCCTTAAATTGTTTCCCACTTCATCCCTTAATATTTGGTAGCCTGAACTCAGGAAAACAGGGATTGAATGAGTGAAAATTGTAACTCTTCCTCAAGGAGTATGCTGGAAAACTACTCCCTGGATCTTTATTTGTTTGTCCTTTTCTGACTTAGTCATACCTTCAACTCAACCTGATTTGATTTGTGTTGGTGTCTTCTATAAAGTATATAAAAGTCTCTGAGATAAAATCTGAAAATGTAAAGCTGCTGGCATCTAGAAATTTAATGGTGACTTTGAAATACCTATACAACTTTTGTTTATAAGAATAAAATCTCATCAGTATTTACTATTTATTCACATGAATTATAAGAATTTATACTGCTTTTTTGTATAATTCTTTTTGAAGGGTGGAATGCTTAATCTCAATTGAAATCTCATAAAATAGGCCAGGTTTAGTTTACAGGTTGGTTTAGTTCACTTTAACTCAACCTGTGCTTTCAGGGCAATAATTATGTCCTGGGTACATGTGGCTTCATCTTAATTATGCAGAAATTAAATGATGAAGCACTGTGGTAAATTTTATGTATTACATAAGATAAAAGTCTTGCCCTTTGAAGAAGCTCACAGAATAGTGGGGAGACCGCCCCATACACATTATATTGTAGTGTATAAGTGATGAGGGAGATAGATGCACAGGGAAGTGAAAAGTCACTGAGGAGAGAACTGAGTCCAATTCCAAAGTTCCTGGGAGGATGTCACCTGAGTTGGATCTTAAAGAATGATTAAATGATTCAAGTGAAAACGATGGAATGGATGGACTCACTAGGGAAAATCATGAACACCAGCCCAGCAAATGGAACATGATAATGCATGTAGGGCATTAAAAGCATATAAAATATATGCCAGCAGGTAACAGGAGAAGAGGCTGCCTGAAAGGAGCAAAGGAGGCTTATCTACTGTGTCCCTAATTGCTTTAGCCTCAGGAGCCAGCTAGCTACATTCCAACCTTCCTTATTTCCTCTTGATAGCCTCTTTCATTTAGCACTCACCCACTTTAGAAATCCAGATCCCTCATACTCACAACCACTTTTCCAATACCAACTATGCCTTCCTGCTTCGTTCCCAATGAAAACATATGCGTCCTCCCCTGTTTTATCATCACGATTGTCAATGGCTTGCATCATCCTATATTCAGTAAACATTTATTAGGCAACTATTTTAGGAAAAGCTCTATGCTAAATATTGGATCCCATTGGCTCTTCATATAATGTTATTTTAAAATTTATTCTTAATCGATACATACAATTTTGTATAATATTTGACAATAGAAAGTACTGTCCTTTGTATACAAATAAGAAAAAATAATAGCAGGCACATTAGAGACAAAGCAGCTTTAGTTGGTGAACTGATGAATGATGTAACTAAAATTTTGGATTCAAACCCCCAGGTCTTCAAAGCTCTTTGCCATTCAGATATTGCCTTTCTGATGAACCCATTTTCTCAACTACATACCCCATTTTGCTGCTGCTGTTGTTAAATAAGGTCATCAAAACTGTATTTCTGCCATATTTTGATACTGATATTAATCCCAGAGAAAGGGTCCTACGGGTGACCTGTTTTGGTATCTATACCAAAAACTTTTCTTATTTGGTAAACAAGATGCAGCTTTGGCAAGATGGCATCATGAAAGTAGTGTGTACAGGGAATTCAGCCTTGCCTAAGAGACACGAATTCCATTCTTGGCTCTGCCACTTATAAGCCAGACCCCAGACAAAGCACTTGAACTCTCTGAGCCTCTAAACAGGGATAATAATATTCATCTCATGGGGTCTCTGGGAGCATGATACAGAGTATATCTCACAGTCCAGATCTAGGAGATGTCCATTTCCTTTCTCCTAATCATGGGGTCATCTCAGTTCAATTCCACCAACTACACAACTCTGGTGACATAATGGAAGAATAGGTTCCATGACTTCATTCTTTAAGAAAGTTACTGAAACGGAAATATTTGACTTTGTAAATTTGCTAGAATTACTAGTGAATCATTGCTATATCCTACAGGGACATGACCCTCAAATTTTTCATTATATTCTTAGGTGGTAGGTTTTTATAAAGTTCTGTGTAAGTGCTTTATTTTTTTTCTCCCAGTAATGCTTTCTTCAGAGTTTAAAAGTGACTTGGGGGATTTTGCTGTTTTTTTTTTTATTCATATTGTGGTTTTTTCCATGGATTGATATTTTTTATTTAAAAAAACATAATTTTTAACTTGGTCCAGAACATGTGGCTTCATCTTAATTATGCAGAAATTAAATGATGAAGCACTGTGGTAAATTTTATGCATTACATAATATGCAATTGTCTTTGGTGTGGCAAGTTTGTGCATTTATTGTTCACTTAGTTTTTTTTTTAATTGAATAAAATATTCACAACACCTCTCATGTGCACAAACTTGCTTCTTGGTCTTGCTTTCTGATATCATGACAGCATACTCCAGATAGTTAAAGCTACCAGAGAGAGCATGGCTTCCCCTCTGCTGAGTTAAAATGGCATAGCCAAAAATTCAAACAAATAAGGCATCTTCCCTATTTATTTATGTGACATTTTTAGTTTGAGAAAAAAAAAGGAGACCATGACTTGGTGAACAAACATCAAACATCAATCAGTCACTGACCTTACTCTTCCAAAACAAGCAATAACTGAAAAGCAATGTGTGGTGAATAATTATAACAAAGCACCCAGTGAAAAAAATAATTACAGCCGGTATTTGTTAAGAGAGTCCAAATCATGGTGGAACATTACTCCATGTGTTTGGCATATCATTATTTTTATGGACTCAAGCTCCTCGAACCACAGTTTCTAGTTCAATGTATCTAGGGTGGGACCAGAGAGTTTGCATGTTTAACAAACTCCCAAGTAAGACCGATGTTGCTGGTATAGGAATCACACTATAGGTTTCCTTTGAAAACCATGGTCTCATATATACTAAGCTCACAACAACCACATGAATCAGCTATTATTAGTATGTCTGTTTTAAAAGTGAGAAAGTCAAAGCTAAGATGGTTAAGTGATCTGTCCAAGATTACATTCCTGGTAAGGGGCACAAATAAGATTCAAACCCAAGATTGTCCGAATCTAACTGCCATATTCTTTCTATAATAGCAGGACTGATAAGCTTTCAAGAGAATATATCAAGTGGGTAATTGTTCCCTCATTCTTGTTTGCTTGATATTATGCTTTTTGCTTTGCAAACTCATTAAACTCTAGGTATTGCCTGGCTACCTGAGGGTAAATAATAACATTGCTATCAAAAGAGGCTTTTTGCTGGTTGAGTTATTAAGTATACTTTCCACTCAATTCACCAAGTAAATTCTACAGCAGACTCAAAGATGTCTCTAAAACATTCATCCAAATTCTCCCTTATAAGAAGCCCTTATAAGAAGGAGTATTAGAGTCAGAGATTTGAAAATATTCCTTTCCTGGCTTTGAAAATGAAGGAAGAGTCTAGAAGCCAAGGAATGCAGGCAGCCTCTAGAAGCTGGAAAACACAAGGAAATGAGTTGTCCCTGGAGCTTCCAGGAGGAACACAGCCCCACTGTCCTTATGACTGTAGCTCATGAAAGCCACTTCATATTCCTGATCTCCAGAACTATAAGATAATATTTTATGACTCTAAGTTTGTGGTCACTTGTTACAAAAACAATAAGCAACTGGTATATGTTTGTAAAACCTGGATCCCACGTGAATGATTCTATCTTGACTATAAAACTCACTAAAAACAGACTACTGGATCAGGTAAAGGGAGAGAATATTTTGTCTTCCTCACCCAAAATTTCTGAGTGTGTATCACAAAGGTCGCTGTCTTCATGTCACAGCTTCAACACAATTACTCTATCAGAGGCCACTGAGGGAAAGAACATTCTCCTAACTGATCTCTGAGTTGGCTCTGAGTAGATGCTGTTGTAGTAAGTCAGGAGGTTCAAAGGAGGCCAAGTTCTCCTGAATACTCCTCCTCATGTTCCTCAAGGGGAAACAAATCTGCATTGTAGTAAACTATCCACATTAACTCTCTCCTATGCTGTGTCCTGTCCTCTTCACTTTGGAGCCCACCAATGTCTTGGTCAGAAGCTGAAAAGAACAGGGTCACAGTTGACCTGTTGGTGAGAATCAGGTATGCTCTGATCCAGGCAAAAGCATTATGACATTACACAAAAATGCACAGAAATGAAAGAAACTTGAATTCAGAGTGAACTGTGGACAAGTCTCTTAGGAACCACCAGCCATTGGGTGTGCAGCCTGTTGCTGAGAATGGACTAGGGCAAAAGTCAGTTTTTGTCCTTCATGCACAGAGCTAGTCATGCCTTCCAGGACAGCAAAATTAGAACCAAATGCTTTATCCCAAATGGACTAGTAAACACTTTCCACTTTGGTTGATTTACTAATGAAAATACAATAAAATATATGATTTCAACATTCAGTAACAACAGAATTCTAACTTTAGGACTTGTTTTAATCTAAAGGATGTTTGAAATTTTCTGATGGTACTTGCGAAAAAACTGAGCAAATTGACTTCAGCAAAGAATTTACAGGCCCATTAGCAGAATGCTAATGTGCTGAACTGGAGCTAAGCAGATGCAGCCTTCTGATGTCTTGCCTTTCTTTTTCACCTTCAAACTCCAAATCCCTGCATCAAAGCACATGTTATCTAATTTCCCCTTGGACATTTCCAGAGCCTTTCATTTAATTGTATTCACTGTGCAGACACTGCTTTGTGACTGCATCTCCAGGGAGAATAGTGCCAGACAGACGGCGAGCTCTAGGCTGAAAGGAGCAGACAGCCTTTAAACTCCAGGGCATTTCTGACCATCCTTAGCGGTGCTAGTGAAGAGCCAGACCTTATGTGTCAAATGTTTACAGACTTTCTCCTACTGTCCTTGTTTCCTTCCCCCAACCACCCTCACCTCAGCCCCTAGCGGTCTGCAGACCATGTCCCTTTCCTGTCCACTAGGTGGCAGACAGGTTATCTGGGCAGATCCAGTGAGAAAGAGCATCTATGCTTGTGTAGCAGTGGTCGAGGACTGCCCCTGTAAGCTTGTACTGAGAGCTTCATGTGAGGACCCAGAGACACACCTTTGCAGGAGCAGTGCTAATAGTAGATGTGTGTATTCCAAGTTGTACCAGCTGAAGAAGGTTCCTAACACAAACTTCCCAATTTTATCAGTTGGCTTTCTCATCAACACAGATACCACATTTCCATACCTGTAAAAATGATGTGGCATATAGCAGTTGGAAAAAATCAATATCATATTCTAGAATGTTGATATCAGATTCTGAAAACATATATATTTGTTTCACACACCATAAAGGAATCTTGCCTAAATATTCTCCTACCTTTCAGTTTTGAAACCAGAAATGCCTCTCACTTCCAGTGCTGCTTCTTCAGAGTCAAACTTACTACTACTACTAAGATCTTCTATTAATTGTCACTGTACCATGTGCCTATGTATACCATATTCTTAATATAATTCATATCTTACAACAACTTTGCAAGGAAGGTGTGTTATGCCCCTTGTCATGATGAGTACACCACAGATGAAAGAGACGAAGAACTGAGGTGTTGAAGGGCTAAACCAGGTTTTGAACTCAGCTGATGAGGTTAAGATCTTTAGCTCTAGAATTCATGGCTCTTTCTGAAGTTTGGCCTTCAAAAGGGAAAGCTCCTGTCACATGTTTTGTCACTCCATTTCTGGAGGGGAACAAAACATGGTAAAAGAGCAATTAACTTTTTGCAATCCATGAATTTTAATGAGTTAGTGTACAACTCTTCATCCCTAAGATCTTGATGCACTAGAAGATGTTGGGGGTCTGCTAATGGGAATGAAGGGAGAAAGGATAATGGGAATGGAATCAAGCAGTTCCTGATTTTAAAATAAGACTCCTAGGCACACCAGCCAAAGTTTAAATAGATAGAACCTGTAGGAGGAAAGGTGGAGGGCAGCAGGACATAGAATGGGGACGGTGAGGAGGAGGATGTTGACTCTGAAAGCTAGCTTTTACTGAACATTTGTGATGTGTCCAGTAATATTGTCAGTGTTTAGGATCTGATACTTTTGAATTATTAAAACAACTCCAGGAGGTAGATAACATAAATATGGCCATTTTATAAATAAGGAAATTGAAAGATAGTGAATTTAAGCAAATTGCCCAGATACCTACAGGTAAAAAGCATTATATCCCAAGTAAGTAGTTTGGCTCTAGAATTCATGATTTCAACTACCTTAACATTAACATTAAATAAACACTAACATTGTATTTAAGAGGGTAGTAAATCCTTCATAGGAATCAATGAGAGGTGAGACTTGATACATATGTTTGAGAAACTGTCATTGCTGTAATTTGATTTTGGCCAGGCATCTTTCTGTTAACTCCTTGTAAAAGTAAAGGATCGCTCACTGACCGGTTTTCTTCTGCTAGCCCCTTTCCTTACCACGTTCTCCTTCCAGGTTAACTTAAAGCCTGTCTAGAGAACTCTTTTGCATTATGACTCAGCTAAGTCCCACAGAATAGGCTTGGTCATGAAAGCAAGTATATACATGAAGAATATTTTAATTTCTTGCTGAAATGTGTGAGTAATGCAGACAGCACTGATTCTAACAAAATTGGTAGAATGGGACACATATCCTAAGAACAGACACAAATTAAGTATATGGTTTCATTGTTATCACTTATGACATATTTTCATTTCCTTTTGACAAATAAACACTATTTCTACATTGTTCTCTTTAAAAAGGTGTGTGATACTGAGAGATATATTTTTATAATTGATCAGGTACAGTTCAAGTCAACAGATATTTCTTAAGCACCTATTTCATGCAAATATTTAAGTCCATTATCAGAACCAACTTTATTTCATAATAAGATATTTTGTGTATATAAGACAGGTCATCAAAAGAAAATACTATTTTGACCTGGAAATTAAATTACTTCATTGTCACTTCTCCACACCTTATCATTGAAGTTTCTTCTTATATGTTCTCTTTGGGGGAAAAAAAAGTTGCAATTATTTTACTTTTCCTGACCTTTCACACCTTAGCAGTCATTTCCTGAACATGTTTTATATTATCTTTTGCATTCTCACCAATACCACTATGTGTTAGGTCCTCATTGCCTAATCTATGAATTATTGACATGATGTCCCAAATATTATGCCACCCTGTCTTCATAGCTGCCAGAGTGATCTTCCTAAAAGAACAAATTACTCAATCTACAAATTGATTTCAGTGTGTATAGATTCCTTTGTAAAATCTAAAATTTCTTCCCAAGGCTCAAAACTTTGATGACCTGGTTCCTTCATGATTTGACCTGAAAAACCTTGGATAGAGCTGCTAACCTGCCTCACCAAACCCTTAATGTCCCACCAGTCTTCCTCTAATAGCCTGAAAACACAGTTCTACAGAGCCAAGCTGCAACAGTCTCCCCTGTGCATCATGCCTCCGCCATTTCATTAGTTGGTAGGCCTAGGTACACAGTGTGCTTCCAGCCTATGTAAATAGTGTACTTCCTGCCTCTTTTAATGCCTGTATTTATTTATTTCTTTTACCTAGAAAACACCGTATAACCTTCTATTTCGTAACCCAAATATAACAACTCTTTTATAAACTATATTTATTGGACTTTCTGAATTTCCTAGAACTCATCAGGTTGTACATATTGTGTTTCCTTTTATTTTATGATGGCCAAGCATAGTGTTCAATACCTGTCATACCAGTTACATAGGTGGCTAAGCAGAAGAATCAGTTGAGTTAAAGAGTTTGAGACCAGCCTGGACAATATAGTGGGATCCCCATCTCAGAGAAAAAAAAAATTGATATAATACTGTACATAATTGTTGGTACAGTAGGACAAATTAATACATGTATACAATGTGTCATGATAAAATTGGGATAATTAATATTGGTTTGTGTTTTTCTGCATTTTTTAGCACAGAACATGGGGTTGTGTTCTTTGTCTCACATATATAAAGAATGAAATTCATGGACACAAGGGTGAGAGCAACGTAAAAGGATTTATTAGAGTAATAGAGTTCTCAAAGGGGAGTGGGGGTCCCAAAAGATGGATGGATACTGGAAAGTGACTAGGGGTTTATATAGATTTGCAGGGTTAAAGAAGCTAGCTCCTGACTCAATTCTGGATAAGGTAATCATGTCCACAGTGCGTAACATGCTTTTTGGTACAATCAGGTTACTTTGGCCCCTTTTTAGAGACGGGTCTGGGTGCCAGAAAGTAGATATCTCAACTATCTGTTTTTTCTGCTTACACAGGAGTCAGCCTGATCTTTTTGCGGCCTGGTTTGTGTCTATAATTTCTTAGCCTTGCAAACCAGAACTGTCCTCAAAGGATCCCAAGTTTCCTGCCTGCCCATTCTAACCCTTTCCCCTGCCCAAGTTGTAAGCTTCTTGTAAGCATTGCCTTCTATCTCCTAGCAACTAATTCCTAGCATTGTCTTCTAGCTCACTAGCAACTAACAGTGTCTTTTTTTTTAGAAAATTCTCTAAGAAATTTGTATTCAGTGAACAACAAAAATTTACTTTTCTAGGCTCTCTAGAGAATATTTAACCCCTCATGACGAATCTGTACTCAATAGTTCATTTTCCAAGGAGATAAGTCAACTGTTCCAGTCTCCCATACCACTGCCTGGTGATATACCAGGGTTGTGGGTGGGTTACAATGCTATGGATGATATATTTAAGATATTTTACTTTGGAGAAAGAAATGCTTTCAAATGATTAATTAAATGGTTTGGCTCTGCAATAATTGAAATATCTTTGTGGAGCTATAAAAGACTATGTCTGGATGATTATGATGAATTGCATATAAAACTCTCCCTCTGTATAATGAATTGGTATTCTGGAATGCTGTGATTACAGTGAATTTTAATTTGTATGTGATACTAGTGGTCACATTTGTTACTACTTGAATCTCATTAAAATATTTTTGATCAACTGATAAAAATTAGGTAGTGAGGTAAACCAGCAAGTGTTTGAAATACCATTTTAAGAAATATTTCCTTTCTTTGAATTAGCCTTGCTTGGAAGTGGTCTAGCTGCAACATATCTGGGGCATGCAAGTCATATCTCTTTCAGAACATAAAATTTCATATCAGAGAAAAGTATGCCTGAGGCATAATTCTGTGAGTTAATGAATCTTCCCTCAAGCTCCATTCCTTAGGTATAGAAGATGGAAGAAATAAACAAGGAAAATAAGGCTATCATTTTCTCTAGCTGTTGGGCTAAAATAAGCTCTCTACTGTTACTTATAGCTGCAAAAACTGAAACTGAGAGAGAAGGAACATGTGTTCTAAGATTGTACACTTGGATTGTAATTAAGCCAGTTTGAGCTTATGACT